ACATAGTTCGCCCACGTGTCATCCGTGCGACATTTTATGTACAAGGATATTTTGTACAAGTAATGCGTGTTTATTACACTCGGCAGCCGCGCAGAAGACGATTCATCCACTTCTCATTTCAGACGGCTAATATTGACAGAACTCGCGTGCGACGGATATTCCTTTGCATAATCCCATCATTTGTGCTGACTAGGCTCGAACTTCTCGCTGATTCATGAGTCCGCAACTAACAGAATCTCCGCGCTGTTCCGCAAGAAGTCGAGGCGATTATTCGCGCGCGCGCACACGTCCCGTGCACATCCTGGAGAAAACGGAGCTTTACGTCACGGATAGATCCGCTATCCGGATCCGAGTCTGCCCGGAGCGCGTTATTCGAAATTAATCAAATGGACGTAAACTGATACCGATCTCCGCTTTGATGCGAAATTAATGGCGCCTTGCGCAATATCGCCTGGTGATGGCGAGGTGGGAGGGCGCGAGCGAATATCGATAGTAAGTCACATTCATTCGGGGCCACCGCGTCCGACAGGCATCGCCGGTGCTTCGATACTGCCGTTGATCGTGTTTGTTCGCAAGAAATACGACGTAGTCGCGCGTCGCGGCTGCGGAAGTGAGAAACGCAGGAAATTAGATCACCCTGGAATGCGGGGGCGCAAGACCGTTCCAGAGACGCGAGACGGTCGGAGAAAGGTCGGAGAACAGAAACTGCATTCTAAATTCACCAATACAAGCGCGACCTGCCGATATGAACGTCGGTATCGATCGTTTGATATCGAGACATGCTACAAAAGCGTCTACCGTGCAATTTCGTGTTTAACCCTTCGACGCACGAGTTGCCACCCCTCTGACGCACTTGTCTCGAGACGGTATCATACGTTTCTTTAAGTTCGCCGAAGAATCGTTACCATGACTATTTGAACGATTATTCGCGTGTTGTTTAACGACAATACGGAGGCACATGTTCATTAAAGTAAATGAAAAAGAATTAGAAATCTATACCAGTACACACGTGTGATATTACACGTTGGAAAGTGTATGCCTGTGTATCCGATGTTGGCTATATCGATAATGAATTGATTTGATTACGGGATTGGATTGCGCTTGGGTCTCTCCAACCGGGATATATCAATTCATGTAATAATTAGTTTGCGATAACGAAGTAATTATCCTAAATGTGTGATTCCGGATAGCAGTCGCTATTGAGCGGTGGTGTGTCATTACGAAATTTTGTTTGAACAGAGACAGTTGGGAAACGACGAAACCAGTCGAAGTAATCGCATTATCCCCGGTCAAATTAATATCATACAATCGCTTATTAACATTGTGCCACATCAAAAGCAACATCAAGAACAATATCCGAATACATCAGGACACATCAGGAACATTGTTTGCCGAACGTGCAAAGATCGAAATTTTAAGAACGTGTAACTATTTCGAGCGCACTTCTTCGTTATATTACGATAAGAGAAAGAAAGAGAAGGGGAGAAAGAGAGAGAGAGAGGAGGAGGAGGAAGAGAGAGAAAGCACATTAAGTCAGCCTACGTTTTTATTAGCGGTATATTGGACGCATAGGGCAGCGGGAGCAGGCAATACCATTAAGCGCGAGACCCCTAAACTTCGCAAACTCAATCCTATTGCTTCTCCAATGTTCCCCCGTCTCGCTGCTCTTTCCAGTGGGTTAACCGTCGGGATCGAGTCCGGAACCCTTCTACGACCTTTGTTTCAGCAAAAAGGACAGTCTCTTTTTCACCTAAAACGGCCAACTTCGTCCCGGCTTTGACTTCCTGTGTTTTCGCGTTGCGTCTGTCTACGAGCGGAGGCAAAAATTCACCGCGCCGGCGAATGCTGCGAGGCACGTTCTTGCGACGATTTTCCTTAAAGCGGGATTCACCTCGTAGGATGATACGAATTCGCGATATTTCTCTATCTATTCGCAAAGACAGTTTTCAGCAAGTTTTTTAGAATAACACCCGAGGAGGATATTCGCCAAAGCGGAATACCAAGAGAGGCTTGGGATAAAGTAGATTTCCTGCGTCTGCAATTTTTGAAGTCAGTCATAAAGTCAGTAACGTGTATGTGTACATGATATCAGTTTCAAACGGGACATAATTTAATTGAACTTATTTCACATTGATTAAACGAGATGTTTACTAAAAATTACGACATGTACTGTGAGTGCCACATCAACTAATTATATGTCAGTATCAATATTTATTCCGTATTTAGGGCACTCTCTCTGTTATGACATAAAAATTCACAATATATTCATCATATGATGTTAATTGAAGTAAAAGTAGTAATTTAATTAATGGTGCTTCGATAAACCATATGTGACTCTGCACGAAAATTAATGTACACTCTGGGGCATGACAAATGATACTGCGGTAATAACTATCTACATGTGCGAATGTGACTGATTAATCTTTATCCGAAAGTCACACGAGAAACAGCGGTAAATAACCATTTGCTGCAAAACAGTAACCTGTGTATATAGCGTAATACATCAATTATATTTTCCATTGATTCTTCATGTTCGACGAAATTTGCAAAATTAATATATATGTATTTGCTACTTCTTATATGCCAAGAAGGGAATTTTCAGAATTAATATAGAAGTAAAATTTGGATTCGGGAAAACACGAAGAAGATTCAAACGGTTTTTTCACGAATAGGATGCATCGAAAACGGTTAACCACTTAACAAGCGCGTCAATGATCAATATTTGCATCGATAAGAATTAATGACCGTAGCTTTGTCGTCTTTCTCGGGCGGCACTCGAACTCTTCGATAGTCTGAATGCATTGCAACTTTATGTCACTTCTGAATCTTTCATGATATAAAAAGACGTTGTCTGAGACGAGACGAACGAGAATAGATTGCAGCCTAGGTAAGGTCAAAGAGATTTCATTAGGTGTATAGAGCTCACACGATCACGACGGTGTGAAGAAAGGAACTGCTGTATCGGAGTACAGAACTGCCAATTACAGTTTCGCGCTCGAGCTCGCGCGGAAGATCTCCGAGAGCGTTTCGTGTTTGTACATATCCGTGCGCGCGTATTTGTATCCCGTGAAAATCACAATGTTAAGAAGTTCGTTCCCATGGAAGAGATAACGGAAGGGGAACAAGATAAATCGACCCATTTAGAAAGTAAGATTTTATCAAACCTTTCGAATGCTCAACGTATCGCTCAGCGTATCTACTGCGCTTCATTATCTTTCCTTTGACGAAGTTACAGCAACTGGCAGCTGGGACGGGTCGAAGTTGGATTTTTTTCCTCAGAAAATTACCGGAGATACTCGCGCGGCGGTATACGGAAATGAATTGTCCTCGTCTTACTTTGATCATATGCACGTTAACAAGAAAACAGATAAACTATATATTTCCTTTGATATTGTTTCTTCAGAAATGTGTCGTGGAATCGTAAAACAGAGTCTGCTTTCGAACGCAACGTCCGGTATGAGAAATCTCCCCTGTAATTTTCTTCCCGCCATTAATATTCAACCCGAATGCGAATGAAAGTTTCTTTTCGTGAACGACTACATTATTCTTCTTATAAGGAAAGGGGAATATATTACTGCTCAATATTTGCGCCGTTCTTCCGCGACGGTGCAGCTGCTGTCTGGCGGCCTGCACGTATCGCAGCTTGTCATGATGCCGCATGAGTTCCCAACGGTATGCCGCGATCTTGCCGATCGTTTGCGAGGAATAATATCCGCCGAGAGAATCACGTAGCTGCCAATAGTAGTGTATAAACGGCTTGATCGACCGACAGGCCAATTTCTGCGTCCCCTTATTTCATCTCGTCTTTTTCCCACTCAATCCCGAGCACTTGTCTCGCTAGGCACTGTTGTCTGACGGCGAGTTGTATTCATCGATTGTACGGGCCAATACATTATTTAGAGACGCTTCGAGAAACTTGCTCGTCACCTTCCGCGAGCGTGAGGATAGGAATGAAACACGACGAAATTTTGCAACTCTCTCAACAACCGTCGTCGATGTGTCGCTTCGCGAGACGCAGACATTTCCGTCAATAGACGACGCGAGGCGAACGAACGTGAGACGATTGTGAGAGTAAGCAATGACAAATTGTCGTTCCATTAATCCCCCGATAGACGTATTTATTTGAAAATGGTCGTAACGTATTTCAGAGATACAAGTCGATTTTTCTCGTAAATATAAGATGAATATGTTCTTTGAGTGTTAGACCAACTAATGAAATAACCCGCATTGAAATTTTCCAAGATTTTCCCAGATGCAGCATAGATTCTTATTAGAATTCTTATTAGAATTCCTAAATTTGATTATCCCATTACGATACTAATTGGGAATTCCATTCTTGTTTCAAACATGGGTTTTCTGTCTAGAATCGAAACAAGAATATTAAGCGAATTCGCATTTTGTTCAGTTGATAATATCGATGTACTTTTATAGTATCAAATAGGAAAAAAATCCCATTTTTATACCAATTATTGTATTTAATAAAGTAAAATATCAAAAAATGTGAAATTAAAACATTACACTTCTATCTCGAACCCATAATTATTTTAGGAGGTCGCAATGAGAGATTTTAAGAAATTTTCTATGCAAGAAATTAATAGGTTTTTTTTAAAACTGTATTAACAAATTTTTTTTTAACTGTTAACAAATAATTGTGAAATGATTGCGGAAAATTGTGAAAGGGATTGAGATAAGAAGATATATGGAGAGGTTCGGTCTCACTGCGGTATACCGCAAAAATATTGGAAATTTGAAATATGAAATTGTATCTGTCAGACACTTTGCGCCTATCAGAGGATTAAACTCATTTTAGGCGATATAATCTTTACATATATATATATACGAAATATTATATTTAATACTCTAATAAACTTTGAGTGAAGACAATAATTAAAATAAATCGTGCATGCAAATATGTATGATGCATGGTCCTTTTAGAATATTCTTACGAGATGATATACTACGGCTATATAATCATAGATCCATTGGTGATTATTACTTACATGGCGCTGCGAGTGTCAGGGATGTCACGATTGCTTGGGAGACCATCGGAGGCTTCCTGATTGAATTTATTCCTCGCGTACGGGTCTTCGCCCGCTCGCAGGCCGCCTCTCGACACGTACCTGTTGCGCAAAGAAAATGATTGCTGCTAAATTTATCGTTATTTCCACGTGCGCTTGAAATCCCGCCGTCAGATCGCGGCGTTCACATTCGACACGCGTGTCGAAATGGACTAGCCGTAAAATGCGCGCAACATCCTATCGTGACAATTGTAACGGTGCGCTCAGGGCCGCTATAATTGCGCGTAATAGTGCCGACGAATGGCGCATAGAACGAAACATTCCAACGTAATGTAGCGAGCAATAATGCGCGGAAATGTCCCGGCGGCGCGAGGAACTGTGCGATAGCGATGCAGTTTAGTAGTCGGCGGAAAGTTAATGTTCCGCTGCGACTGCCTGAAGATAATAGGTTCTTGCGCCGAACGTGCGCGAAACAATTAATACCAATGTGCCAACTTCGGGACTGAAGTCGGAAGTCAGAGGAATTAATATCGCATCCGCCGTCGGCGATGCTTTTTCACGAATGTTTAAGGATACGTGCACGACGGAGACGTCTGGTCGAGTTGTACTCTCAAAGTTTGAGTTGTACTCTCAGAGTCGATTATCGCGAGGGAAAGATGCCTTCTCAACTCACCCCTGCTCGTCGAAGTAATTCCACGTCACCCTCGGATCCGGAGTAGGCGCTGGCAGAAGCTCAGACGACATTACAATAGCCGTGCCGTCTGGGTCCACGTAGCCACCGGAATTTCCGCCAGCGGAAAGCGCCAAGGACGCGGGTTCTTTCAGCCGTAAGGCCCTGTTCTCATTCTGCTAACAGAAGGATAGAGAGAGGGAGAGATAATCTTTGCAATTAGAACTTGTCGCATCTCAATTATCTACATATAAAATAGAATGTCTGCCTGTCTCTGTATGTTCTTTATACATTCTTAAACCCTTTGACCGAACTGAATCAAATTTTGCATAGTTATTTTTTAAGAGATCCTGCGGAAAATGTAGGTTATGAAACTTGAACATTCTTTCCTCCTAATTTCATCCCCTTAACAATTTGTGATTTGTGTTATATAGCGACAAATCTATCACAAACGTTCATTACAAACGTCAAATCTATTCAAGATATATTCTAGATTCTAGCAAGTGCAGCAGTTCAATGAAGAATATTAAATTAAAACATAATTAGGATTGCTTATTATTTTACATAGAGTCGAACCAGCATTTTCTTCGACAAAGTTTGACAATACTTTTGTAAAGAGAATAGATTCTACTTTTGAGTACATAACACGATGAGCTTTTCTAAAATTTGTGATGAATATATTTTAAGGCTATTATCAAGAAAATATTTTTTGTAAAAGGTTACTTAAAAGAAGAAAAGTAAAAGTAGAGTAATTGGTTTACTTAATAATAGACTAATACTTTCAGAAGCCGCAATGATGCAGAGTTATTTCACAATGAAGCTCCAATAAACTTTCACGATCGGATGCGGAGTTGTTGCACAGAATGTGAAATGCTTGCGATCGATCGAGCCGAGATGCATATCGGCGTTCACGAGCAATAAATATTCGCTGGCGCGATAAATTAATTTCCATTAATTTAGGAAGAGAGGGAAATTGTACGCCTCAGGTTATTGCATATGAATCCGCCCGCGAAATGCCACAAACTGCATCTCCGCGCGATATAATGCAGTTGCTGTACATTCGCTCTTGTTGAACAGCACTTCGCCATCCGAGCAATTCCGCGAGATCGACAGGATAGCCCTCGTCCTTTGTAACGTGGCCGCGACTCCTTTTCCCGGAGCACTTGACTTCGACGCAGGAGTCAACTGGAACGGCAAGACGGGTTTGCTCGTCGCACTGACACATCATCGATATACGTCGTATTGATTTCGAATCGCTACAGAGTCGCGATCGTATCGCTGCGGCATTGTGCCATCGCGCCGTCGAATGCATTGTACTGTGTACATATAGGTCACGTAGGTCATCGAATTCCACTCATTAGGTTTCCGGGACTTTTCTCGCGTGTCTGTTCCCCGTGGTGCCCGCGACCTCCTTGGTGATGAGAGTCACGAGTGGACCTGGCCGCGGATGTTTTCGCGGACGCGACCCCGGCACGTACGAGCTGCGAGCTTACGTGGGCAAACTTAAGATTGCCCTGTTTTTCGTGAGAAAGCGTAAACTCGACGATCCGCGACGCCACTGTGGCGCGCGGACCATGCGATTACTTCCGTCGAGCAATTGTAACTTAACGATAAATCGGAAGACGCACGCGGAATATTCAAACGCGCTCGCTTCTGCGTGTTTCCAACATGTTCGAGTAAGATATGTTGCTGGCTTTTAGTAAAGAGAATTTTTCAAAACAAGCAAACCACACCAGTGTCTACGCGGAAAAATTACGTCTACGCGGATCGTATTTTCTATGTAATATAGAAAATACGATCATTCTTCATGTAGACATTGTAAATTATGCATAATATTATATCAGGATATGTGAAAAGAAGTAACTACCAACCTTCTGGTAACTTTCTAATCGTGTTTGGCTCTTTTTGGACTTGAACGTTCTTTAGGAATTCTCGTGATATTAAGGTATTGCTCACACAATTATAAGACCTTGTGACTTCAACATTTCGACGCATATAATGTATGATGTATTTATTACATAATATGTACAAGAATATACTCTATATAAAAACTCAAGAATTTAAAGATTAAATAAAAACTTTTTTTAATTAATTTTTGCGCGAGTTATGGACTCTTTAAATGACCTCTATAAATTACTCCTTGTCTACATAGATGACATCTCATACATAGTTTACGTAGACATAAAGTATCATGATTTATACGTTCAACCCTAACCCACACACGTAGTGAGAACAATTCGCGATTGCAGCAGTGCTCCAAGATGGAACCGCGAGAAACAAATGAAACAACGTGGAGAAGTTAATGGCGCACTCTGTTTCCAGAGGACCAGACGGCTGAATAGACACGGTAACCGATCGTCGGAAAAACGACGTTCCAAGGCCTACATAAGGAGTAGGTAGTAGTGGTGATGAGTGCGCGTCTCTGTGCAGCAGCAGCAGCCATTAATGCATTGCATTGTACGTTGAAGCGGGCGAGCAACCGTTAATTTTTCTCCGTCGGAAGTGCCCAACGACTGCGATCCGAATGGCAGTACTTTCCGCCGACCACGGGTCGTTAACCCTGCCATGTCGATCTTACGCGCGAAAACATCCTGCAACAACGCGACGAAAGAAGATGGCCAAAAGCGAAGTAGAATAAAACGACCGGGGCGCGACAGCCGATGGAGGGGGAACCGCAAAAAGAGCGACTCTCGCCGCGCTGGGGCGAGAAAGCGCGGCGGGTAGCAACGCATCCATGATGAAATATTAATTCACGGCTCACGGACCGAATTAAACCGGAAGCGCAGTCGGATGGTCAGCCTGCGGCAAGCTGTTGCATCCGGTTTCACGGCGCGGCAATGTCCACGTGACGCCGAGAGCCCCCCGCGTTGTCGCATAAAATTCGCCAAAGCGTTTTCGCGCGATCAGTCGCCAAAGGGAGGAGGGAAAAGAGAGAGAGAGAGAGAGAGAGGGGGGGGGGGAGAGAGAAAGAGAGAGAGAACACGAAAACTGCGTAAATCAGTATTTTTATTGTTTCAGCTCGCGCACCTCGCGTCGTTTATTATATATAGACTAATAGTTTATGTCAGATGTCGATTAATCACGCATACCGATTCGCGATAACCGGGGAAAAGAGGACTTTGTGGCACACAATCGCAATCGCGGTACAGGATCGTGAAATGCGACTCGACCTGCGATTGCGTCTTACATTTTGTGGCATTTAATTATGATATTACTCCGTGACACGTCGGAATCGACAAATTCGTGCCGGTGACACATTGACAATATTAACACCGCCGGTAATATCGGGTTCCCGTTTCTCATATCGGATTCCAGTGAAGGCAATCTAATAGCCTCGAGTTACGGGTTTAATCGCGCATGCGACGCAATACTGTTACGTGGGTACACGCGAAAGACGTACTGAATTTAACACCTCCAATTTGAATGCTCTCGTCCGACAATCAATGCCGTTATCGTGAAATTATCATTTGATTACTTCGAACGATACAATTGTGGCCTTTGTAAGTTGTCCTATTGTCCTGCGCTGCTTTCGTGGCAAGAAGGTTTCCTCGGAAGTTTTTAACCTCTCTTGAACAAGCGAAAAATCGATTCCATTCAGAAGACGACTATGGAAACCTTACGCAGTGATCGAAAAAGACCATTATCCTTCGTCTCGTTGCGCAAATTCGATAGACTGATATCAAAGGAGCCAAAAAACGCACACGGCGTTGTTGTCGCAAAAGTTTTAGCGGTAGATTCGTGTTTTCGAAATCGCAATGTCGTGAATGATATCGTGACGTATTCTCAAGTTCCTTGTTTGTTATTTCCGCGAAGAAGCAAGGCACATAAATCGCAGTTATATATAACCTCGTAATTGCATTTTGGTAATTAAATTGATTAAATTTAACAATTTTAACGTATCACTCGTAATACGCGTAATCCATTTAATTAATTAAATGATAAAATGATAACGCGACGTTACCAGTGATTCTCATTGCGCATACAAAAGCGCGTAGACGCCGCAATTAATGTGCGTGTATGTTTTCTATAATCTATTTATTATACACTCGTCTTTACATCGCGCGGCGTTGCACGGTCAAACGCGAATCGGTCGTTTCACAAATCGTGAAAAAATGCACTGCGACGCGCTTCAGCGTAGCGCTCTGTTTTATTGTTCTCCATATTCCCGGAACAAATTTTTCTTCCGTGGCTTTGCGCGCATAACTGTCAGCACCGTGGAGGTATTATTCCTTTTTGCACGACAAAAGCGGCGCACGTGACTTCCATAAAATTCATTGCATATGCGCCGATGCAATGATACGCGAAACCGGAAGCACCTTCTGGCGAATGCACAGCCGTTCGGACGGACAATGGTCGTGAGTGGAGATCACACGTTTGTTGAAACTCGCGGCGGAAGTGTGGAAAAAGATATAGAAACGAATAATAAAAAAAAAGTATGGAGGGAAGAGAGAGAAATAGGACGCGTCGGATCGACAGGATTCGCGGGCCGCTGCGGACACGCGCGGCTTCGAATAATGATCACATTTGATTGACGTCGTTTAACAGCATCGCGCTGTAGACTTATCTGCCATCGGAGTCGCGCATATAATTTAACGGTTTCTTACTCCTGGTGTGCTCGCGAAACACACCGCGCCTATATACTTGACATTCTTGCTTGGAGTTTTAGAAGAAATTCTCCGAAGACCGGAGAAGGGGAGGAGGAATCTAAAAGTTCTCGAAGAGTGCAACGCAAGAAGGGTTTCTCCCTGGCTCAAGTTAAAGAAGCGGACTTTAAACTTCGCCAATTAGTAGCCGATAATACTATTTATACGCGTATTTGCCGCGAACTTCGCGAGACCCGTCGATCGACTTACTCGTCGATTTGCGACGCGCTCGCTTTAACTCCGAGATTAAGTATACATCCGTCTCAGTCAGGTAGCCTGGTTCGTAGTGCGCATTAATTTGTCATTGTCACCGGCACTTTCTTAACTCTGTCCCGATGTACGCAGATGTAGTTCGCCGAAGTTACGTTATCTCGGGGATAGCAGGTGATTAACGTCAATTTATCAATTATCAATCGCTTAAACTCGCGACATCTCGATATGTCCGTGGACCTTCTTAATTTCACTTTTCCCAATCATTAGGGTTTCCCAAAATTCTCAGACGTTGTTCCCATGGAAAATCCGAAATTGGAGCA